CTCACCTGCGCAAGGTGGAGGCAGCTCTCAGCACCCCTCCCTCACCACTCACCTGTCCAGCCTTCCTCACTGAGTCACAAGGGAACTGGGTGGAAAGGATTTCAGGCCCATGTGTTGGTGCCCTGGGCAGGGCTGGGATTCCCCTCTCCATCCAAGTGGAGGGCAATGATGTTCCTGGAATAGGGTGTGTCTGCAATCAGCTGCTCCAAGTGCCCCGTGTGGGTGTTTCCTGGCACCACAATCTGGAAGGGAGGACCTGACAAATTCTGTCTGTCGACAACACAAATGCTTACCGAGTCTTTTATTAGTCAGCATAATAACGTTTATAGTAAAGGGCTGAGTCCAGACACAGCAGAAGCCAACCTCTGCGCTACCTCGTGAGATCTGCCCAGGCCACAGCACTGGATGTAATTTACCCTCATAAATTCCCTCTCCATTAAATGTGAGCTCACACTTGACCCTTAGCAACTTCAACAACCTCCCATTTAGGTTCCTGGGGAAGGTTCTCACACACAACATCCAGGGCTTATGATAGTGACCCCAAAGCATCCCAAATGTTAGAGACATGTACACCTAAGATAACTTCTTGGGGAGAGATTTCTCTATTAAAATAGCTCCTCCAGGCAGTGGGTAAGAGCAGTGTTGTCTGAACATGTCCTGCCACAAACAGGATGCAAATCAACATTCGGACAGGCTCAACTTGTGTTTATCTTTGTTCATGGTCCCTGCTTCTTTTTAAAAAGTCTTGTAAATTTACTTTCCCTCAGGTGTTCTGATATTCTTCCTACTCAAATTAGTAATTTCTGCTCTCTGTGTTATTAATCTACTTAGAAAATGGAATAGTACCAAGGTAGATTGGCAATCTGTTAAGAGCCAATGAAGGCAAACGTTCAGGTAGATTTCTAACAAAGATGTGTGTGTTATAATGAAAGCCCATACTGACAAGTCCTATGAACGATTTGCATTTACTACTGGGGATTTTTAACTCATATAGCTAAGTGCTATAACTCATATAGCATTTGAATTTTCCCCAAATTCATTTTTGTTAGTTACTAACCCTACAGTTGATACTCTTATGATTTAATTCATCAAAAGCAATCACTTAAGCACTGTACGCAGGCATGTCTGTGGCCTGCATTCTCACAGGCTGCCAAGCACAACACAAACATGAGACTAAGTTCATCAGGAAATGAGTGTGCATGTGACCCAGGGCCACACCAACTCATCTACTGCCCTGCGCCAGCAACCACAGCAGAAAGCGCTGTAAAATCTACAAAATTCTTCTGCCAGCTCTGAGATGACAACAATACTTACAGGTTCGGGGGCCCTCGTGCCAGCCAGGGAAGCACACACACGTGGTGCTGCTGCACTGGCCAGGGGCAGGGTCCAGCCAACATCCCGGCTGTTCGGCATCGGATTGTACTTGGACATTCCTGGCCAGTCCTCTCATCACTGAGAAAAGAAAAGCCAACACATATTTCGTACGTCTACTTACACATGTCGAGCTATTACTTCCCCCGAACTTCTGCTCTGTAGTAGGAGAAATACTGACCTCCTTAAATTTTAAATTATCTACACACAAACGCAGATAAAAACTCTCCAAATCCACATTTAGCCAAACTTAGTCAACCAGGGCCTTGGGCTTTATGGAAGCTAAGTTGGTGCCAATAAAAACAGGGGAGTAAAAGTAGTAGCACTGGGTTGGCCACAAAACGACAAGGGGCAAGAGTGAGAAACTGGAAAAGCAGCTTCAGTTTTCCAGCACAGGTCAGGAGAGAGAGATAAGAGGATTCTACCATCTCTGCCTCTAAATGAGAACTGACACCACCGAGGATGCCCATCTAATTCAGGCAGCTAGGTTAGCTGGTTTCAATCATTCATTTCTTCTCATTCAACAAACAGACACTGAATGTCTTCTGTGATTCAAAGAAAAGGCAAACATAGGGAGGAATCAAAGATACACTCAGTTCTCAATTAACTGCCCCAATAGAGGCTTAGAAAGACATGCAAATTAAATCCATGTATTAACCCCAAACTCCAGTTTAGCCAATAACATCATTTTTCTAAGACCACTAATCTTTTGCCAAAAGAAGTCATCCACACTTGCTTTCTTTTTTAGCCATCAGCACGTGTATTTTAAAGCCAAAAAAAATATTTAGAGGTATGCACCAAAGCCTTTAAACAATACTACAAAGAATTGCAAAACCACAATAAACTGCTTTCTCAACATATTAACAGCAAATGAAAGAACACAGGTTTTCAACACCAAAATGCACTTCAGCAGCAGAGAAATGTGCTATCAAGTAACGTGACCAACAGATTTCAACAACTTACATTGAAAGCCAGTGACAAAACTGCTTCACACAAATTTATCGAGCACAAAGCAAAACTCATGAACTTTTCAGTGACAGAGAATACTGATAACTGCATACGCATTTAAAAATCCTGAACTTATCATTTCAGAAGAATGCCATTATACATTTTTTATTTCATACACTAAGATATTAACAACTGATGGGAGCTGGTAGGTAAACTATGGGCAATTGTTACATTTTTCTTCCATCATTATGAATTTCCCAAATTTTAACAGGCCTATATGGCCTTTATACTGAAAAGCAAAATGCATCATGAAAAAGCTAAATTTGTCTGCTTTCTTACTTCCATGTCCTTCCAGTGTCTGGTGTATGCCCTCCATCGCCCTCAGGATAAACGGGAACCACTGTAACGGTGTATGGGGCATCCGGCTGCAGATTCCTAAGAACAGCATAATTCATGTTCCCAGGGATTGGCACCTAAGGATTTTAATAAAATGAAAGGACTTGATTTGGAAAACTTGTACAAGAAATAATACTTCAAACAATAAAATACTCAAAACATTTTAACCCAAGACCAAGTCAAGAAGGAGGTTCTATAATATTGGGACCTAAGGACATGCCACCATACAAATTGTTATAAGAGTTGATGAACACTTCTCTGCACATGCCCTCACACCTTCTTGAAAAGTCCCTGGAATGATTCAATCCTCCAGCCCCTATACCCCAGAAGCTTCCATCGCCCAGGTTCTAAGGCCCCAACCGACTACCCTCTGTCAAGTTCTACTGAAGGAACATGAATTCCTTCAGCACTGTGGTGAATTGGTTAACTCTTGATCTCCACTTCGCAAGCTACAGCTGAAACTAACATGCACTTTTCCCTACAGGAAATAATGACCAGTTTCTTCAGATCACCTGCTGTTGGTGCACAGAAGAGCTTGCAGTGGTCAGTATTTCCCTCCACGTGGTCCCAGCGAACGTTCAAAGTTCTGGTGGCAGGGTCATACACTCTGTAGTTCCTCACGGTACTCAAAGGTTCTGAAAGGCACAGAAAGCACATCACATGTGATCTGACAACCCAGCACACATGAAGCCTAGGTTTACTGAGGGGTCCCAGGAACCCTAGAACACAGCAGGACCCCTGTAGTAGGCACCCCACAAATACCTGCTAAAATAGTGAATAAAGGAAAAAAGGTCTGTGATCATCTGGGTCATGCCTCATCCCTTCACAAGGTATTTTGGCCCCAGAGCATAGTTTGTTTTCTTGTCTGTGTTATCCTAGAAAGTAATAAACACCCTTCTCCAAGACCAGAGACAGGTAAGTCCACTAAGGATATTAAAAACAATTAAGATCTTGGGGGGAGGGTATAGCTCAGGGGTAGAGGGTGTACTTAAAATGCACGAGGTCTTGGGTTCAATTCCCAGTACCTCCATTAAAAAATAAAACCTTATTACTACCCTCTCATAACACAAAACAAACAAAAACAATGAAAAGCATTACTAACATGCATTTTAAAAGCTTAGCAAAACCCTGTGTCACCCCAGTGTTTACAGTGGAAGACGTGATTCCATCCCCATGATGGTTACTAAAAAAGCCACAGGAGTCCAGGTTCACTTACTGGTCTTGCATCTTCCCATCATCAGACCTCCATCCGCATCAGGACACAGGGAGGACAGGGTGATGGTGTAAGGAGCATCAGGCTTCAGCTTCTGCAGGACCACACTGTTCTGTTGTCCGCTTATCCTTGTCTGGAGAAAAACAGGGATAAGTGTCAGCTTTGCTCTCTCCACCTCACTTGTCTGTTAGAAAAAGCTCTTTCTACGGGGGAGTTGTTTGAGACCTTTGCCAAGATCTGGAAACATGTCCCGCTGTGAAATTGTAAAATATATCTTAGGGTATCATTTTACATGCAAACTATGTACCTGAAATCATAAAAAGGATTTTTGAAAATATATTTCAACTGGCAAGGCAAGAAGCCAGGACTGCAGAATTTTATCCAAAACACATCTCACAGATCTCTTCTCCAAAAAGGCATTAGTCCTAAGTGAGCTGCAAAGTAACTTGAAGGCAGCGAAGAGCTGCATGATAGTACAGGCCATTTGGTATTATTCCCACCTTTTTACAAATGGTTTTTATTTGCTTTAGAAGCACATTAAAGTGATTCAGCAAAAGATCTAAAGCTTTTTGGTTTCCCCCTCCAAAACTGACCCTCGACCAGCATTAGCTGTGCGGACTGTGTGACAGGACCCCCTGCGGGGCCACACTCAGTGCAGAACTGCGCTCTGTGACTCCAGCCTGCTGGTATGAAGCATTTTCAATATCCTCGGATTAGAGTTTGAAGGTTTTTGTTTGCCTTAATTCACTGCTTAAGGCCATCTAGCTAACTTGTCGAAAGAAAACTTGGATACTTTAACAGCCTATTGAATTCAGATGTTTATGCCATATGAAATAAAATCACCTGAAAATAGCAGGCTGCCTGCAGCGGGTGCACATGCGGAGAGCTGGATGCACTAGCACAGTTCAGAGGCTTCCACTGAACACCGTCCACTCGAGCAGCCTGAGTTTCAAAGAAAACCTCAGTGAATCACAGAACTCATCCTCACGATGAGTAAGGATAATTTGGACAAACTTAGTAAATTTTGAAATTTGAGATTTGCAAATGTTAAAACCAGATAAAAAACAAATCTGTTGTGTATAGCACAAGGAACTATACTCAATACCTTGTAATAACCTTTAATGAAAGAGTATAAAAATGAATATATGTGTGTGTGTATATATATATATGTGTGTTTATATATTATATATGAATGACTGGGACATTATGCTGTACACCAGAAATTGACACATTGTAACTGACTGTACTTCAATTAAAAAAAAAACAAGAAAAAATTAGTATGTGAGGTTATGAGAACAAAGCATCGATGTAATATTTGTTACTTAACAAATCTGAGAGCATCCACTTAGCAGAAGCAGCCTCACGATGAAGCAAAAGGGCATGCGCCTACTTCTCCCATCCAACTCTCCAAAATCATTCCAGTGCCAGGGAGTTGTCACTTTGATTATTCCTTGGACTAGCAGTAAAATGCAAATATGCCCAAGAATAACAAATCTTAAAGGATTGTCACCTAATGTACTACACAGATAAGTTTATGAGACTGAGATGCTGTCTAATTACAATAAACAGCTGAGAGACAGTTAGAGGGCCACAGTTGGAGGGTCAGTATCACCAACAACAGAAATGCTGAGGACAAGCTTTGCCTAAATATGGCCTGACACAGACAAAAGTTCTGTTTCTGCTATTAAAATATCAATCCATCAAATGTGTCTTCTTTTATATAAAAGCCAGCTGATCACTGTTGGTCTTTAGTTTATTACTGATAACCTGTAAGACAGATCCTCAGTCCAAGTATATCATACTACTTAAGTCTAGTTCCATGGAAACCGCAACAGGGCAACTCACAAGTCACACTGGGGACAGAAGGGGCACTGATTCAGCTAAACCACTTACTGTGCAGTAGAGAGACCTGTAACCACTGCCAGCATCCACCTCTGCTAATATTCGAGCATGGTAACAGGTATGAACATTTGGTGGAGCTCAGCAAGTCAAATAATTAAAAGTGAGTAACTCATCACTCTCTCAGGCTAATTGAGAAAATATGACCAAAAAAATCGACAAATTGCTGGCCCTCATCAACAGAGGCATTTGGAATAAATCAGAAAGCATCACCCTGTCTGTGTAAAATCCTGGTGCTTCCTGACCCCAGGGGAACAGGTGTGGTTCTAGTCACATGTCTCATAAAGGCAAAGCTGGAGAAGGTTCAAGGACACACAACTAAAGCAAGCAAGGTGAAGTGGACAAGGGTTCTGTTAAATGGGGTGGGCTGGGAAAACAAAGGAGACAAGCTTCCAAAGGTGGAGTAAACATGTCAAACAAGATCTGGGAGCCAAGGAAATGCCTTACCAAGTCCAATAATAAGACACTGACCTCTGGGTTCTGCCTATTCTGGCTTTCCGGGAAAACACTGAAAACTCTGCAAAGCACACCCCAGACCTGGAATAAAGGGAACTGTGAAAGAGGGACAGCGGCTGAGAGTGCCTGTGACTGAGACCACAGTCACAGTCTGAGTGGTCTTCGAGGACACCCCTGCACTTCAGTCCCATGGACCCTGGTCTCACCCGCCTGCCTACGTGGCATCCGTCTTAGCAGTACCAGACACGCTGTAGGATGACCTCAGACCTGGTGTCTTTCGCCCTCCCCCGAGGCTGCACTCCAGTGTTCTCCTGGGGCAAGGCCAGGCATGGGTTGTCCTCTGGGGCCTCAGAACAAGACTGGGTAGGTCTGCCCAGCCCAGTGCCACCCCCACTCCGGTGCCCTGCACACCTCAGAGTGGAAGAGAGCAGCCCGTGGACACTCAACCTGTTAGAGCAAGGCCGGGATGGAGTGCGGAGAGGCTCCCGCAGGACCTGCCACAGGGCTCCAACCTTCCCTCAGGATGGAGGCTGGTCCGTGTCCTTCCGGTGGACTCTGCGGTACTAGCATTAGCTTGAGTTTCTAGGAGTTGTGAGGAGAGAATCCTGAGGGACAGACACCTGCATCCATCAGATGATAACCATGTGATTGATGGATCAAAGGGGGACTCGCAACACTGGGTTCAGCAGGTGCTTCTCTGTCCTACTCACTTTACAGTATCTTTGAAATCTTTACCAGACGGATGATGCATAAAGGTTCCTTTAAGACATTAAATTACACAAGTGTTACATGCCCTAAGCAATTTATAAATCCAGAACAGCCGCGTACTAGACACTGTTGGTAAATAACCAGCCACCCACTCCTGATTTCTAAGAGGAGTGGGCTTGGTCCCCAGGGCTGGGCCTCTTCCTCATGGCCTCAGGGCACCAGACACAGCTCAGCCCAAAGGTGTCTTAAGATTAATCTAAACCCCAACGATGGTCCCATCCTTCCTGCTACACCTGGCCCAGCGTGATGGGGCAGGAGGGAAACACTCCTGAGGAACCTCCAGGTGAGGTGTATTCACTCCAAAAACGATACCAGGAGGGCTTCACAGAAACAGCCCGTCACAAACCCCTTCTGCTTCTTCCCTGCCTCCTTTGAGGCCTTGAGGCCAGTGCGCACGGGACAGAGGCTAAGCTGGACCAGAAGAGCCCACGTGGCCCCCAGCTCGCCCCGCTCTGGGCTGGATGAGGGTGACAGTGGCAAAGCCACCAGGCAGGAAGAGCCTGGTTACAGAACGACCCCTCAAGGGACCAAGAAGACCTCCCAACTTGACCTGAGCTGAGGACAACTTGTGCTCTGTTTCCGCACACGTGCTCCAGAGGGTCTGATATGGCAGCTTGGGGACCTCAGGGAGGGACAAGTCCCTGTTCCACCAGTTGTCACAACTTAGAGTGATGGCTTTGAATGGTGATGGCCCTCTGCAATGTGGGGGGTCAAGCCACCACTGCGAGGGCCGCAGAGCAGGAAGGCGAGGAGAACTGGGGTTCTCGCATATTCTGCCCCAGCCTCACTAGGAGTTAACAGACAGTCCTGGTGAGGCCACTTTGTCTGGGACTTTCTGTGACCTGAGGCCAAACATTCTGATGCAAATAGAAAAAAAGGAAAAAGAAACTAAACCACCTCCAGGCTTGGCACCCCTGGATAAGGAGTGTTGGTACTTTGATTCTGTCCACTTGCTGAGCAAGCACTGCAGCTGGGTCCCCAGGCCAGCACCCTGCCCTGACCCAGACACACCACACTGCAGCCAGGGGCCCTTGGGGACAACAGCTACAGATCCAGCTGGGCAAGACCCCACGCAGGACTGCCCCTCCTCCTGGTCTGGCCCCTCTTCCGAGGGGCTGGCCTCACAGGGGTGGTGCCACGAACAAGACAGTGCACATACCACACTCCACAGGGCACGTGACACGGAGTAAGAGCTCAGGAGATGCCAGTCATACCAGCAGAACTGGGGACCAGACACCCACATGTAAGGAGTAAATCCTGTAATACACTGGCTAGCAACTGGGAGGTAGGGAGGTAGGGGAGTGATGGAGTCCACTCACTGAGGAAGTGCCGCATGGGGAGTGACCCTCAATGTCTGGGGAGCACACGCGGGCTGGTGAGGCCCATGCAAAGGCCCTGACACCACGCCTCCCAGGTGGCAGCTCAGGGAATGGCCCAGAGAGAGGCCCCCCACCCCAGCAAGGTGCAGATGCCACTGGATGAACAGCCCCTCACTCCCTGGCCCCGGGGGTCCTCCCAGACTGCCCTCTGCACAGCAGCTTCAGGGAAAGGGGACCACACTGTGCATCCTGTTTTACAACCTGCTTCCTCCACTTCGTGTAATAGGAACACCTTTCTGTAGCATCAAATACTGCACTTTCGTCTTTGTAATGGATGTGTATCTTTTTTCAAACTGCTGTATCATAATGAACTTATCCAATCTCAGTCATTGCTAGCTTCCAATATTTTACTGTGAAACAAAATTGGAGTGAGTATCTTTTTAGCTAATTTTCTGTAAATTCATGATTATTTCCTCAGGATACATTCCCAGAAGTGAAATTGCTGGGACTAGTTATATGCAAAAGATTTTTTTTTTAACTGAGTGCCTGCCATGACTCTTAATAAAGTATCACTAGAGGACAAGCCAGTGGATGAACTGAAGACTCAGACGTGCCGTCTGGTTGCTTTATAAAGCTGTAGAACCCCTGCTGCCCTGGGTACTGGTTTCCTTTCCAGACTGGCCACGCCGCCCCACCCTCAGGGGCTGTGCAGTGTTGGCCCTACATCCTTCAGCTTTACTTCCTAAACTTCCCTCAAAGGCAGGTACCATTCTTGGCTACAAAGAAATGCCATGTTCCTCACAGGGGCACTTACTCCTGAGCGAGGGGTGTGGTCCTGACTTCCTGACCCCACTAAGACCCACCCTCAAGCAAAGAGTGGGCCCACCACAGCCAGATCCTAAAAGTGGGCCAGGCTGGCTCTCCAGAGAAATCCCCATGCAGCTGTCCTGGGAGGCTGGATGGCACAGGTCACGGAAGCTGTCCTAATCGGACTGGTGAGCTCAACTCCTTGGAGACCCTCCAAGGAAGATGGAGCCTTCAAGAACACACACAGTCCACCCCAGCATGGAAACCATCAGCGCCAAATCCGGAGACGTGGTCCCTGAGAGCCACCCAACTGAAGCTCCTTGTGGGAAGTGTGGGAACAGCCAGAAATGGGCATCCCCCTGATGGGGGGCTGAGAGTGGGGGACCCCTCGAGGGGCTGCCTGACTCTCTTATCACAGGTCAGGCCAGTGCACAGACCACACAGAAAAAAGAAGAGCTGGCTTGCACGTGGACTCCCACTGCCTTTCCCAGGAGAGCAACACCAACTCAAACCTGCTGTTTGTAGCTGGTGTCAAGCCCTGGAAGGGACTCGTGCAGTAAACGTAACCGCCCTTCTGACAGCAGGTGCAGTTAAAGAGGAGTCTGCACCCCCACATCCCCACCATCCACCCGAGGCCCACAGCTTAGCTCCCAGAAACCAGTGCATTTGTTGTGAATAAACAAAGTCACCCAGAACAGGCTTTGTGACCGAAGACAACGGCACCTACTTCAAAAGCTGGCGATCAGCTGGGAAGATGGTTACTGAATAAAAACAACTTATACGTAAACCTGTGGTTGATCAGAATGATTCTTAACCACAGAGAACGCTTTTCCTGCTAACTTCCTGTTTGGTGGCCCATAAATCTTTTATAACCAACATGTGGCAATGCTTGAAATATGACTTCCATCTGGCCAAAATGATGAATCGTTGTTATTTTTATTATGTCCAGTGAATGACCATGGCATACCCATTCCAAGGGTCGATAAATAATATGTTTGATTAATTTCCCTTTAAAATCTATAACCAATGTATCATTCAACTCCTTGGAAAACTGAGAAACCATGAAGTTCTTTCTCAAATATAAAAGGATTACAGCATTTCTTCAATCTCATCGTGCAGGCACATGATGGGAGATGCTCTGTTAAAACCACAGACAACAAATCCTCTAACAATCTTTAAAATATTAGAATTTAGTTTCAGAATTGGTTGGATTCTGGGTGTTCAGAATCCAATGTGACTCAAATTTGGCAAAGTGCTTTTTTCCTTTATATTAAATGTGAAATTTCCACCAATTTCAAAAATGAAGTAGACAAAAATAAGAGAAGCAACAGATTGCCACAGGAAGACATTTACATTGCCAGAGACAAATCATGCAAAGTAATCTGAACTCCATTAAAATAAACACTTTGTTATTAATTTATTTACAACTGAGGAAACCTAAAGCTCACAAAAACATTGCTAAATAAACCCGTGTTTATTTCTGACTCCAGCAGCACCACTTAGGACAGCTATACTATAAGGGCAAGCAAAGCTCTTTGGAAGGAAAGGGAGAAAATGATTAACAGCATTGAAAGCTGACTTAGATGTCATATTTCAGAAAGCATCTTTGTGGTGAGAAACCTCCAATTACCTCATCACTTTGTATGATCTGATAAAGAATTCACTGTGCTCTTGAAGCTAACCCTGATCACTGGGGTAAGTCAATGAACACCTACAGACTTCTTAACCAAGAGCAGAGAAGTTAGTGAGGAGAGGCCAGAAGGGGGAAAAGGGGCTCACAGACACAAAGCAGCCTTCCTTGACAGGTGATCAGGGAGAATCAAGGCCCCACGTGTGGAACTCCTGACCTGGGACGAACTCGAGGTGGTGGGGGAAAGGGGCCGTGTGCTCCAGGACTGCAGTGTTTCATGCTGTTCCCATTCAGTAGGTCAACAGCCCTCCCAGCCCAGATGTGCCTGGGCAGAGTATTCCCCACAGCCTGCTGGTCATGTTGCCAGATGTGGGGTGTGAAATATTCTAAGGCAGTCCCTTCCAAGCCATGAGAAAGTAACAGTCACCCAGCTGCCTGTACCAGACAATTTGGCTACTGGAAAATCCTAATTAATGACATTTTTTAAAACACCAGGGTAACAACCTGACCTGCCAAAAACGACTTTTTCATCATTTCATCACTTTTTGCTTTGGTTACCTATTATCTTCTGCAGAGAATACAAAGGAAGTAAAATGAACATGGTGTTTTTAATGTACAATAACCTCAAATTAAAATGCTGTTCCTTCCAAGGTGTGGGAAAGGGGAAAGGGTTCTGTGGTGTTAGCTTTGAGGGAATGAAAGACTCCTTTTAGATGAGGCTCTTGGGCTCCTTCAGGCCATGCTGAGATGCCAGGGGATTTTCTAATAACTAACACTATTAATTGACACCTGCAAATCAGAGTCCTCTTGAAGTCACAGATTACCAGGCCTCCGAGTTCCAATCAGACACACTGCCCACCAGGACGCACCGTTACTATGAGCAAAGTCCCAAGACTCCCGGGGCTGAGGCCCCTCAGGAAAGCCGTTGTCTGAAGTCCTCCGCAGACAACAGAAAACCCAGGTGAGCTTTACATTTCCGGCTCCAAAACCACCCACAGCACAAGAACAAATTCTTGCAGACAACTTTATTTTCGCTCCATAGGAGCCAATCGCGGAGTTAAGTCCCGAATCCAGAGACCTGCCAAGTCGCCATTCATGGGGGAAGCGACACGCAGTTGGCCGGAATACTTTTGGGAGAAGAGAGAGAGCCAAGGGAGACACTCCTGAGTTTCTGACGCAAGTCGACCCCGGGGGCTGGTTCTCACTGTTCTCCCCCTGCAAACCGGCTAGGCCTCGGGGCTCTCGGCCCAGTTGCTTCTCTCCAACCCCGACTCTTTCCCGGTCTCCACCGAATCCCATGTACTCCGCTCCATTTCTTCCCACGCAGCACGCCCAACTGGGGTGCCAGGAGCCAGGCACTCCCCTGGCCCGGCACGGGGCCACCATGTCTGCCGCCTCTACCCGTCACTGAGAAGACTGTAATAATTACATCTTCCAGCTGCCCTTAGACAGCCAGGCCAGAATGGCAACAGCTTCCAGGGGAAATTTCTAAGAATCCTTAGCCTCGCTCAACAACCGCTCCTAAAAAATCCTCCAGGCTCCCCTTTCACTTGGAGAACTCGTGGCAACCTACCCGGCGCAATCCATCAATCCCCTGGTAGCCATGGACTTCAAACCCTGCACGAATGACACCTCCCGCCTTCCAGCCGCGCCCTCTATCCTCTGCGCACTCCGCGCCCTCTACACGAAACCTAGGCTCCCGGCGCCTTCCATCCATTTCCAGAGACGGTCGGTCTACCCGCCTGCGCTGGGGAGAGAAATGGGGTGCAGTTTGCTGCCACTACCATCCAGTTGCGGTGCCTAGCCTGAGCGGGGCACGCAGCCCCTCGCCAAACAGCGATCCCATCCCGGGTGTACGCGGGTCCCTCAGCTTGCCAAGCCAAGAGAAAAATTTCACATCTCTTCAAAGCCACGCTTGGTGCTTGCTCCCGCACCCCTGGGAGCCTCCCGCAAAGATACATCTGAGTACCTTACCTCTAACTAGCAGTCGAGGCGCCACAGCTGTCCGTCTAACTGCGCAGTCCTCTTTTCTCCAACTCCAACTGGCTCCCACGTGGCATCGGTCCGACGGCTGGCACCTTCCGCAGGGGAGACAGCCTCAAGAACTCCAGTTAAGAAGGTGCCCAGGAACAAGGCCCACCGCTCGTCAATCAGGCGAACCAGAGATCCTTGCCGCTGCCGCCGCTCTGACCAATGCGAGCTCCTTGACCCTGCCGGCATTATGGATGCCGCCTGTGCGCAGGGAGCGCAGGGTAGCACCACGCGTGGCACACAGAAGCGGTGGCCAGCGCGAGGCCTCCGGAGAGGAGAGGGGCGGGGACCGCGCCGGTGGGAGCGCCAGGCCTCGGACCCGGTACCCCTGCACGCGCATCACGCTGCCGCCCAGCCCGCTTGGCACTCAGGACCTGGGGAGCGCGCGCACCCCCCGGGCCACCAACTGTGGCGTGGGGAACGGCGGGTGAGGCGCGGGAAAGCGGGGGTCTCGAGGCGCCCGAGGATGCCGCCGGGTGCCCGCCGAACCCCGCTCGCGGTGCCTTCAGTGGCGCGCAGTGCGCAGGCGCCAGCCATAAGGCCCCTCAGTGCAAAAAAGCTAGAGCAGGTCGGAGCAGCGGTAGCGCTGAAGACCCCTGGCCGGGCGGACTGAAAAGCTGACCTCCAAAGTCGCCGATCACCTGCTGCCCTCATCCCTTCGCGGTGCCTAAGCTAAGCGGAGCGCGGAGCCCCACGGCAGCCGGCGCTTCCTCCCGGGTTCCCTCGCTCCCACCCCACCACCCCCTCGACTCGCGGGGCCAAGTTGAGACTGTGACCTCTCCGCGAAGCCCTGCTTGGTCCTCGCTCCCATACCCATGGGGGCTCGGGTGCCGGCTCCCCACGCAACTCTGCCCCTGGGTCCCTGCCACGCCCCAGCCACCCTCCAGGCGCCCCAGCTTTCCGTCTCGCCGCGCAGCACTCGAACCCCAACCCCAATGGTCCCCACGTCCCGTGCCGGTCCCCGCGTGGCTTTGGCCCGCTAGCTTGCACATTCCTCACCAGAGACATCCTCGGGCGCTCCGTTTAGCAGGTGCCCAGGAACAAGGCTCAACCGCTCGTCAGTCAGCCGCCCCCCGCCCCAGGAATCCTCGCCGCTGCCGCCGCTCTGACCAAGGGGAGCTCCATGCCCAGGACGGCTTTATGGATGGCGCCTGCGCACTGAGAGCGCAGGGCGGCACCGCGCCTCCGGAGGAGAGGCGCGGGGATGGCGTCTCCGGGAGCGCCAGGCCTCGGACCCGTTACCCCGGCACGCGCATCACGCTGGCATCCCAGCCCGATTGGCACTCAGGACCTGGGGAGCGCGCGCACCCCCCGGGCCACCAACTGTGGCGTGGGGAACGGCAAGTGAGGCGCGGGAAAGCGGGGGTCCCACACCCATGGGGGCTCGGGTGCCGGCTCCCCACGCAAGTCGGCCCCTGGGTCCCTGCCACGCCCCAGCCAGCCGCCTTCCAGGCGCCCCAGCTGTCCTTCTCGCCGCGCAGCAATGGTCCCCCAC